CTGGGGAAACAGCCGGGCGCTCGCCGGGACTCTTATGCCAAGCCGGGCTTGGCATCCCCGGGAGAATTAAGCGACGTGGGAGAACCCCCCCTCGACGCCCGCGAAGCTGGGCTGCTGCTGCCAGCACTGGCAGCCCAAACCTTCGCCCGGGTTTCTCTCCTATAGGAGGACAGCACAAACAAGGATAAAGGTAAAGGTAAAGGTCTCCCTTGCTCGAAAGCCAGTCAAGTCCGACTCTAGGGTTGCGGTGCTCATCTCCGTTTCAAAGCCAAAGAGCCAGCGCTGTCCGAAGACGTTTCCGTGGTCATGTGGCCGGCATGACTAGACACCAAGGCGCACGGAACGCTGTTACCTTCCCACCAAAGTGGTACCTATTTATCTACTTGCAATGTCTTGCTTTCGAACTGCTAGGTTGGCAGGAGCTGGAACTAGAGACGCGAGCTCACTCCGTCATGCGGCACACCCGGCTCTCAAACTGCTGAACTACCGACCTTCCACAGCCTGCAGTTCAGCGTCTCAACCACTTGAGCCACCGCAGCTCCTTACAAACAAGGGTACCCTCCGTTTAAAAGCTTTCTTACAATTTTCTTTACGGAGGCCAGTGTTGAACATGTAGCTCAAGGCAGCCAAATTTGCCCAGACCTGGATGGCCCAGGCTAGACTCATCCCATCATCTCAGAAGATAAACAGGGTTGGCCCTGGCCAGTATTAGGAAGAGAGACGAAGACAAAGACAAAGAAGAAGAGGAGGAGGAGGAGGAAGAGGAGGAGAGATTGGATTTATACCCCGTCCTTCACTCAGAGTCTCAGAGCGGCTTACCATCTCCTTGCCCTTCCCCCTCCCCACCACAGACACCCCTGAGAGGTAGGCGGGGCTGAGGGAGCTCTTTCCAGAACTGCCCTTGAGAGAACAGCTCCGAGAGGACTTGTGACTGACCCAAGGTCACCCAGCTGGCTGCATGTGGAGGAGGAGTGGGGGGGATCAAACCCGGTTCTCCCAGATTAGAGTTCGCACTCTTAACCACTACACCAAACTGGCTCTCTGGAGGAGAAGGAGGAGATTAGATGTATACCCCGCCCTTCACTACCCGAAGGAATCTCAGAGCGGCTTACAATTTCTTCCTTTCCTTCCTCTCCCCACAACAGACACCCGGTGAGGTAAGTGGGGCTGAGAGAGCTCTCTCGAAAACTGCTCTTGAGAGAACAGCTCTGAAATCACTTGTGACTGACCCAAGGTCACACCAGCAGCTCCAAGGACTACCAGGGTCCCGGCGCAGAAGCAGGCCATGGCAAGCCACCTCGGAAAGTCTCCTGCCTTGAAAACCCCACAGGGTAACCACAAGTCGGCTGTGAATTGACAGCACTGTACACCACCAATCGAATTTTCACGCAACCTGTTTATTTCCGTGTAAACTTTCTCAAAAGACGAATTCGGCATTGTTCGGCCTGAAATGTGGCCAGAAAGGACCACGGGGGGAGGTCACGAGAACGAGAAACGTCTCACTCCTTCCAGTGCTTTGTACACCCTTGCACACCCTTCCAATTATTCTTGTAACCGGCCGGGAGAGTAGACCAGTTTCGTTTCCCTCACACCGTAAATAAGGAGAGATTTGAACCCGGTGCCCTGCTTCAGTCTCTTACCCATTGTTCTGAACAAGCTCATCGGAGAGCGGATTTATACAATGATCTCGTCAGCTCTTGAAAGCTAAACAGAGTCAGGCCTGGTTAGGCCTTGGATGGGAGACCACCAAGGAAGTCCAGGGTTTGCTACGCAGAGGCAGGCAATGGGCAAACCCACCTCTGTTCGTCTCTATCCTGCCTTGGAGGGCCCAGGATAGCACAGTCTTCTTGTCAGATCTCAGAAGCTAAGCAGGGTCAGTCCTGGTTAGGATTTGGATGGGAGACCTCCAAGGAAGTCCAGGGTTGCTACGCAGAGGCAGGCAAGGGCAAACCACCTCTGTTTGTTACCTCCCTTCAAAAACACTAGTGGGTCACCGTAACACTTCCCACCACCATCCAATGTCCATATTAGAAGAGAAGAAGAGAAGAGATTGGATTTGTACCCCATGGCCCTTCACTACCCAAGGGAGTCTCAGGGCGGCTTACAATCTCCTTTCCCTTCCCCTCCCCACAACAGACACCCTGCGAGGTAAAAGAAGAAGAGATTGGATTTATACCCCATGGCCCTTCACTACCCAAG